CCCTTCTGAGCTCCCTCATGGACACATACTTCTCCATTTACTTATCTCACCCAGGGTTTTATCAATCTTATTCTGTGCATTTGGCCCGCCCACCGTGCTTTTATTTTATTTCTTCATCATGTTATTTGGCATCAGTTTATTTCATTTTCTGTTATTTTCTGTATTTTATTTTGATGTTATTATTTGCTGTTTGTATTTTATTTTATTTTCTTGTACTGTAATTCTGGGCTTGGCCTCATGTTAGCCGCCCCGAGTCCCCTTTGGGGAGATGGTGGCAGGGTATAAATTATTATTATTACTATTACTATTATTATTACCCTATGTATGCACACATGTGCTTTTAAGTAGTAATTCTGATCAGTATTTCTCATGCTCATACCCCTGCTTCTTAAATAAAAATAATCAATTTCTGTTCAAAGAAATAGTTTTGTTTCTTTTCCCAGCTGGTCTTTTAAACATTCTTAAGAAGAAATTATAAACATGTTTTAAATCATTTTTATTAATTGTGCTGTTGAACATGTTTAATGTTGCTTTGTCTTTATTTCTTGTTAAAATCTGGCCATACAATTTATGAGTGGAAGCAGAGAGTTGGCCTTATGAGGAATCCACAGGCCAGGAAGCTTCAACTCACCTAGAACTGAAGATGTGCTACTTTTGGGGAAATGATTTTCCCTGGAAGCAATCTTTACATATAATGCTAAATGAATCCTGCATCAGTTGTTTCTAATTTGTGAAGTGACTTGCCTTGCCCAAAGATAAGTGTATGTATGATCATTTCTGGTATCCAAGGAAGTATGGAGTGGGATTTCAGTCTACTTACAATGGATCCTTAGAAAAAAAAACAATTTCCATATCTAGTTTAGCTACAAGTTCCCCTATTTTAGATCTCCAGCCTTTGACACCACCTCTTTGAGGAGAGGATGACTCTTTTGCCTCCTTCTCTTCTTGTTCGCAATGTATTCTGAAAATGTAACCTCCCTAGAACTACTTTCATTTTTTTAAAAAAAATAAATACTAGAAAGGTAATAACTTCTTCCTGAATGCTGCATCAACATAATAAAGCTGTTGTGCTGCTACCGAGCCATTTGTGTAAGGAGTCTTTTCCTTTGCAATGCTATAATTCAGATTTGACAAACAAATTGATACCAAAAAAAATCTCATTACCATAACTGCAATAATAACATCAATTAAATAGAAATCTGGAACTACAATATTCTGTATGAGATTTCGCAGAATAACTTAGCTATATATTTCTATACCCACCAACTCTGGCAGGTGCAAAAAGTAAAAAAAAAATGCTGATGGATTGTACTTCCGTATTTTAACTTTATCATTTCAATAAAGAATCCATTGTGGTAAATCATGTATTTCGACTTATTCCTTGTGTCCCAGATATAATAGACTTGGTAGAGCTCAGTATTCATGATGCTGAAGAAATATTTTATAAAACATAGGTTTGTTGCTATGGCCTAACATTTATTCGGCTACATCTTATTCTAAAATCCAGTATCCTTTTATTTGTTAGTAAACTCAGGGTTTTTCTTCTAAAAATGTATTCTTCCAATTCTTGCATATGATGGCAATTATTATTGGTGGTTTCTTTTTGTTCCTCCCTGTGTGCATGTGCCTGTGTAGCTTTTTGAGTATTTGTTGAACAATTGTGCAGTTGCTATACTGACTCTTATGATGAAAGACTGGGCTCTCAGCTGGGAAGCATAAGCAAGGTCATCTGCCAGCTGTCTTAAACTATGAGGATTTAATGGGGGAAACTAAGCTAATTTGATTGTTTGGCAAAAGCTTCCTTTGATCTTCTTGTATTTATTTCACTTACTTAATATGTGAGCATGGGATGCTGAGAAACACATAAAGAGTGAAAACATATTACTCCAAACCAGCTTGGCCCTCCCCAAAAGAGCAACAGTATTTCTGCTTTGACAAATATCAGTTACAAATGGATGACACAGCTTAACAATAATAAAATGTCCAACTCCGCAAGTCCAGTTCAGAAATGCAATCTTGAATACAAGAGGGTTACACTGAAAAACTAACATATGCTCCCTTTTAACCTGCAGATTTTCTAAAGAGGCCACAAGTAGACAGCATAAAGCAGTGTTTCTCAGTCTGTGGGTCCCCATGTGTTTTGACCTACAACTTCCAGAAATCCCAACCAGTTTACCTGCTTTTTATGATTTCTGGGAGCTGAAGGCCAAAATATCTGAGGATCCACAGGTTGAGAACCACTGGCATAAAGGAAGCAGCTCATACTGTAATCCGGCTCCTACACAAGAGTTTAAGCCTTTGAGCTACCATAGAAGTAGCTAGAGCAGTGGTTCTCAACCTGGGGTCCCCAGATGTTTTTGGCCTACAACTCCCAGAAATCCCAGCCGGTTTACCAGCTATTAGGATTTCTGGGAGTTGTAGGCCAAAAACATCTGGGAACCCCAGGTTGAGAACCACTGATCTAGAGGGTTAGATCCAGAACTGTTTGATAAATGAAAATCTACTTTTTAATTTATTGTCGAAGGCAATACCTACAAAAACTACTTTTTAATTGTTATAAAAAGAAATACTAGTATTATTCCTCATCCCCCCCCCCCCCGAAAAAATGGCTCCTAACTTGCACAGAGAACACTTGCATTTATGGAAAGCTGCTCCGTGTGGACCTGTTGTTTTTCACATGAAAAAAACAGATGGAAAATGAAATGGAAATTATGTAACTGCTCCCCATTGCACACACTGGCCTGAGTCAGGGGTGAGTCAGCAAAGACTTGAACAGGGCTACTTAACCTTTTTCAGCTTGCAATCCTTTTTTTCCCTATAGATGTTTATGTGGTCTCTAGTATATAGGTATATAAAACAGGCATACTTTTTTTTAAAAAAATGGTTAAATCTGTGGATACAGAGGACCAATTTTACTACAACAGTAGCAATTAGTTGGGGGTACATAAAAAATCAAGCCCTTAAGTAAAATATAGTGGCCCTCAGTATCTGCTGAGGTTGGTTCCAGGACCCGCAATGAATACCAAAATCTATGGATGCTCAAGTTCCATGATATACAAGGGTGTAAATAATGTTCTTTATATAAAATTGCAAAGTAAAAGTTTTCCACACACACACACACACACACACACACATGGCATTGGTGGTTTAATGCATGGATACAGAGGGTCCATCTTATTACAACCGAACTCTGCAGGAAGATTAAGGTATAATCCTTAAAATAACAACAACAAGCAGATTTCCTTCAAGGAAGGGAGGTGGCGGTTGGGAAGCGGGAAGGGCAATAAATGGTTAGGGGCTGATAGGAATTTCTGTCTCATCCATCTCCTCCTTCACCCTTATATACCTCCTTGGCTTTTCCTCATCCTACACTCCTCCTCCATTGCTTGGTTTGTTTCTTCCTCATCCATCCACTTGGCCCCTTAACAGCTTGGGCTTGGCTTTAGCTTTTTCCTTCTTTGATAGCAGCAGCATTTGTTCCTACTCTGCGGGGGGGGGGGGGCACTTTTATGAATCCAGCATTGAGCTAAGGGAATCCGATTCGTGTCTGAGACCCACAGTTTAAGAACCTTTGGTCTAGAAAAATCACTTACCAGGTCAGAATTATTATCAGGGGGATGAACAAGAAGCTTGAGGCTAGAGCAGTCCAATGCCATTAACCCAATAATCAGAGGCCTAAGTAATTCCTTAACAAACCTGGATATAAAATAGTTCGTTCATAAACAGCAACAAGATTACTTATATTAAAATGCAAAGAGCCAGTACAAAAAAACCCTGCTTACACAGCTGAGCTTCCTAAGTGTTCTCAAAAAAGGGTTCTCAGCTGAGCTTGTCTTGGGCCAGATCTTGATTGCCGCCACCCTATATTTAAGGAGTATCTTAGAGTGAAGTATTGGAGAAAGCAAACCACAATGAATGCAACAGTCTGTGAAAGTAGAATAAAATAGGGTCTTCTCCTCAAATGTAGCCTAAGACAAATCCAAACAATGCAGAAAGCCCCGGAAAACATTTTCTATAGTCTAGGTAGGTAGGTAGTCCCCTGACATTAAGTCCAGTCATGTCTGACTCTGGGGTGTGGTGCTCATCTCCATTTCTAAGCCGAAGAGCCAGCGTTGTCCGTAGACACCTCCAAGGTCATGTGGCCGGCATGACTGCATGGAGCGCCGTTACCTTCCTGCCAGAGTGGTACCTATTCATCTACTCACATTTGCATGTTTTCGAACTGCTAGGTTGGCAGAAGCTAGGGCTGACAGCGGAAGCTCACGCTACTCCCCGGAATCGAACCTGCGACCTTTTGATCAACAAGCTCAGCAGCTCAGTGCTTTAACCCACTGCGCCACCGGGGGCTCCATTCTATAGTCTACTAAGAACCAATTTCCAGAAATCCTCCAAAGGCCCCATATCTATACTGCCTTATCATCCAGTTTCTGAATCTATATTATCTGCTTTGAACTGGATTATATGGCAGTGTAGATTTATATCTCAGTTTAAAGCAGATCATCAGAAGCTGGACGATATGGCAGTATAGATCCAGCCAAAGTTGATGGTATTTCAGAAGAGAAAGAAAACAAACCATTTCATTGACCTTTGCTGCACCATTCATAATTTTATATACATTTAGTCATGCTTCCTCTTACTTATCTAATTTGTCATTTTCTATTAATTTTGTCATGCCTCCTCTTATCTAATTCATAATTTTGTATAATTTTTATCATGCTTTCTCTCATATAATTCTCTCCCAAAAAAGTTCTGTTTCTGCATCGACCCTTGTGTCAGTACTCTGTTAGAATCTTACAAATGTATTTATATTTTCCAATAAATATGGTAATACAGTATAAACTGTCAGAAGAGCTGCAGCTAAAAAAAAGCACAGTTAAACAAATGCAAAAGGGAAGATGTAACTTTTGAAAGAAATCAGTGTTATAAAACATTGCGCCTGGTGGACTAATAAATTCCTTTGGGAAGTTGCTAATATAGACTGGGTTTTCATCTCTCCACAGCCCCAACAGAACCTTTGCTGTGCAAATTTGCTGATGGAGGGCAAAAGAAACGACAGAATCAAAGCAAGTACACACAGAATGGGAGACCATGGCCAAGGGAAGGAGAGGTGAGTCACACTTATTTACAGTAGCTTCTTGGGCATTTGAGCGAAAATGCTTGTGGCTCTAACTTCAGAAACCTTACAATTACAGCATAGAATCTTTCAAAAGAATAAAGATTTATTATGTGAGGAAAATGCAATAAGATACATCAGGTCAAGGTAGAAACATTATTACTTTTAAAATGAATAATATCTACAGGAACTAAGTTCAACCAATTATCTCCAGACTAATGAAAACCTGCTACAGATTTCTGTTCCAGTAAATCCATTTGTTGGAAGTCTACTAGTTCATATAATTAATGAAGATATGTAGACTCTTTATGGGTCTTAAGAGAAGACTCTTATGGAGTGGGGTCTTGAAAGAAATGGTGCCTCTGTCTTCATTGTTGGATCTCATACTTCTAGAGTTCCCTGGAGCAGGTAACAAGAAGCTATTATGAGGACATACCTTTCAAAAAAGAGGAACACCTAACAATATAAATCCTGTAATTTGAAATTTGAAATTCTGGTTTGTTGCAGCACTGTTATTTGGATGAGTGGTATTATTAGTGCTTCTGTTGTTATGCTATGAGAAATGTATCAAGGAAAGAAAAATGTCTTCAGGTCCAAATATAACCCCAGGGATGCCCATGAGGCCTCTTCATTCTAACAACTTCTGTTCTGTCTCTATTAAGATACAAGGAAGATTTATTGTCATGTACTGATTATTTCCCACTGGGCATTTAGGAGGGATTAATTTTAATTCACCTCTGCTTGTATCATTTCTTTTAAATATTAAGTTAGATCCCTCACCTGTGCCAGGTGTCTAAGTAACTCCACATATGTTTTGCATGACAGAGTCATGGGGTGGCAGGCAGACCTGGCCCTAATATTTTCATTTTTGAAAATAATACTGATGTATTTTGGCAGCAAATTTATATCAGCAGAGCAAATCTGGTTGTTTAACAACTTCAGGAAAGTATTAATGAGAGCCACTGTCAATTTTTGAAACAGAGACCATTTCAACAGTTATTATTCAGGGTGGATTTGTATAATTACATAATGTAATCTGTATTTCATTAAAGTCTACAAACTCATTCTTCTTAGGGCCTTAGTTCCTTTCAGTTAGCTATTGATGATTTTGCAATGTAGCTAGTAATTTAAAAATGCTTATTTTTCATTGCTATCCTCAAGCTAGTGAATTTTATGTTAAAATGTTACATTGAAAAAATATATTGTATTGATTCCCTTCAAGAACAACTTAACTGCATCTAGCAGATCATGACATTTCCAGCTTTATAGCTGTTAATCTTTCTTTAAACGCAAATATTTTTAACAAGATAATTTATCAGCCAATCATGTAGTCATGACGATTACATGTTTATCAGATAGTTTCTTCTTTTGCACTGAACAAAATCTAATGACAGAGTCTCCATTTCTAAATGACAGCTATTTTTTAATTAAATAGTGACTGCTGGTTGTTGTTGTGTGCCAAGTTGTCTCTGACACATGATGACCCTGAGGATTTCCTGGCAAGATTTTTCAGAGGAGGCTTGAGAGAGAGAGAGCCTTTAAAAAAAATAGAATATTGTGGAATATATACCACATGTACTAAAATAAATTCCACATAGCATATGATGCTAAACTCATGTTTCTAGGAAATTTCATTTACATGTAGAATAATATGCATGGAAGAGATGATAATTTTAAAATACCTTCCAAAACCAGAGAAGGTACAAGATAAGAAGGGAAAAAATGCCTACAGGCAAAAATGATGCTAAGAGTAGTGTTGGAATTTTTGGCTTCTCCAGCTCACATACCACATTGCTGTCAGAAAGAAAATCTACAGCGAAGTACCTCTAATACTCCAAAACTGGTTTTTAGGATCGGATGGAGAGCAAGCATTGTTCCTCATCAGATGTTCTCATAGGGACTGCTTCTGTGATTGGAATGACAGCACTGAATATCAATACTCTCCAGCATTTCATTCATAAAAGCAAGATAGATGTGGCCAAGCAACATCATCATGCCATCAGAACAAAAGAAGACACCAAAACTAGGAAAGATGGCAGCAGTGCTTAAGGGTGCTTCCAGACAGTGCCAAAATGTGAGATTAATATGCAGGATAAACAAACCTGAGACCTCAGAGCAGGTCCTAACACAGACCTGCTGGCCCTGGACTTTCTTCCTCACAGCCCTTCTGTGTCTCGGGATAAAAGGGAGGGTGGCCAGGGAAAATATGCCAGAAGATTAAAAAAAACCACTCAATGCACTGATGCTTATATGTGCACATGCAAATATCCTAATACAAATGTGTAGAGATTTCTATATGCACATATACATACAAGTGCATAATGGCAGGATTTTTTTTAAATGCCACCAGATTTCCCCTTTTCCCCAATGGCTTATTTAATATTATTAAGTTTAAAATAAACACTTTCAGAGACCTCTAATGGCTGTCTGCTTCTCCTCTCATGAAACCAGATGGAAATCAGCTATGTCTCCATGGGAGCCCAAACAGCCGATCAGCTGTTTCAGGCTTTTTAAAACTGCCATGGGCACGAAGCAGTCTCCACAGGGATATCCCAAACTTTACATGACTTCACGGCCACACAGTCATGGGAAAATCCACTATTTTTCCCAAAACTGGGATAAAGAAGGACCTTTTTGAATCTGACCCCCCCCCCTTTTTAGTCCGTTCTCTCCCAAATTATAGGTACTGTGTGGAAGTGCCCTAAGTCTGCAAGGAACGGCAAGATTTCAATCCCTCCTCTCTGCTTTGCTGTGTTTATTGAGTGCAGACAACTTTTACACTGAATGGTTTGTAATAGTTGAATTAATCTAAGAAGAAAAAGTGGAGAGTGGAAGAATAAGAGAGAAACTGGGGTACCCATCTCACTGCCATATAGTATAGTTCGAAACTGCATTATATGATCAGCGTAGACTCATAAAATACAATTGTGCAAGTTTCAAATTCTATGGCAGTGGGATATTTTGTAGCCAACTGAATATGTGGATGAACAGAGGATTAATCGGGAGTGTCTCAAATCAAGAGAGTTGAAAGATATGAGTCTTATTATGACTACACATGATATTAATAAATGATACAACCTAGTTTGGATAGACCTGAATAAACCCAGGTGTGTGTGTGTGTGCTTACTAATCACTTTATGTTCATAGGATATATTTCTGATTTGGTTACTAAACATGCATTCACCTGTGGTAAAACAGAGGAGTCATGAATTGTTCCTTTATCTCTTGCAGTCTGCTAAAACGTGTACCTTATTTTTCCCTCTGTAAAAAAAAAACAAGGTTAATTTTTAGAAAATGCTCAGTCTTGGGGAGAAAATGAATCATTTAATGATTTCGCCCTCCCCAAATCAGTTTTTCTAGCAGCCATTCTCCTTGCCAATAGTGTAGTGTTTTGACCTGTCATTCATTACTATTCTGTGTAGTGCCCTCCAGCCATTTAGAGAGAAAAATATACAAAGGTCATTTGGGAGACTGGGATTTCCCCACTTGGTTGTAAAGTTAATAGCTACCAGAAAGTCAAAGTCGTTGATCCTGGTGTCAATCCTATTCTGTCTATCAGCAGAAATGATTAGTACCTCTCTGCTGGGTATGTTTTAGTTTTTAGACACAGATTTTTTTCTATACTTTCAAACCTGGCAGGTAATGCTGGGTTGCACTCTATAGCCCTCCCTGGTAAGGAATGATCCAAACCAAAATGGTTATCTGAGTTTTGTTCTTTCACAAGATGATTAAGAGAGCTAGAAATTCCCAACACTGAACCCAGTTGAAAAGTCTCCACATGACTCTGATCCAAAATTGCATGATTCTTTGAAATGTATCCCTGGATTGCTTTTAAGTCCTTTCTTGGCAGTGCGGGCAAAACAGTTGTGATATTCTGAATACCAAATAAATACACTTCTCATGTTGTGGGAACATCCCATCCCTTCAAAACGAAGCTTTGATTGCTTTGTTGTTGCAAGCCAGAATACTCACTTCAAACAACTTCTCCTCACTGAATGATTATGTGAGAATTTTGAATTTTTTAAAATGTTTTAGAAAATATTTTTGTAGAAAAATATTTTGTGTAAAAAGGCTTAGGTTTTGTGCAAAAGATTGTTCTATTGATCTTTGCAAAAGAAAAATTAGGAAAGTGAAAAATCTCATAGCAATTGACCACTTCATTCTTTAAGGTAAGAAAAATTGTAATGATTCCTTAGCCTATTCTCAATTATTATCACACTAAGATTGGAATATTGTAGGCTTATCCATTCTTCAGTAGAACCCTTGGTATTATCTTAGCTTATCCAGTGCACAACAGCTAGATATGGGATGAAACCCATATACACAACTAAAGAGAGAAAAATGTAATAATATAATTTCCATCTTTTTAAGTGCGTTGATTGATTGATTTAAAATCTTAACATATCAAGAAAGTCAAAACCTGTTGAATGGAAGGGGCCACTTATTCTGGACCTAAAAGTTGCAGTGTGAAGCAATGATTGGCAGGCTGAGGTAGGTCCAAAAATTGTTATATTTTAACTTTGTAATTGTGGACTATCTATCCATAAACAGTATCTATGGAGCAAAATAAATAGAACTCAAATAGTTGATAGTGTTACTTGTACAGCTCACATTTAATGCTCGCAGAACAATGGCTTCAAGCTACAGAAAAGGAGATTCCACCGAAACATTAGGGAGAACTCCCTCACTGTTCAGCAGTGGAACACTCTGCCCTGGAGTGTTGGAGGCTCCTTCTTTGGAGCCTTTTAAACAGAGGCTGGGTGGCCATATGTCAGGGGTTCTTTGAATGCAATTTTCCTGCTTCTTGGCAGGGGGTTGAACTGGATGGTCCACAAGGTCTCTTCCAACTCTATAATTCTATGATTCATGGGATGCCCATTAAGTTGCAGCCAACTTCACTACAGTTAACAAGAACAACAATATAAGACATGGATTGGTTCAAATCAGGCTGGATTGAGTACAGTATGCTTCTCCCTCTTCACTTTGTGCTTTGTTACTACAGTTTTGTGCTTCTACCATTGTGCCAAACTTTGTTCTTCTACCTTTTTCTTTTTATTGTTCTATGTGAATGTGCAGGTTTTGCCTTGCTGTTACAATGGTCAATACACATTTTTTGCCTCAAATGGGCTTCCTTGCCACAACTTTGTACTCCTACCATTTTAAAGTTGATCTTTCTTTTTTATTGTTTCACGTGAATGTGCATTTATATGTTTTTTATTTATAAAGTACATTTTCTTATTTAAAAACACTTAACAAAATGGGGGAGATTGGGGGGGGGTGAATGAATTAATAGCATATACAGTGCTTGTATATCATAATGACTTTTCATTTACTTTTGTAAAGTTAGTGTTTTCTCCCACTCATACATACACATGTAACTTTCTTGACTTGCTATGCTAGTGGCACTATAGGTTTTCATTTCATTCAGTGGGGAAATTCACTTTGAGATAAGAGCATTTTGAGTTTAAAGCTCAATCAAGGAACAAATTAAACTCTTAAGTCAAGGTATCACTGTATATGCTATCTTTATGTGTGTCTATCACTGTGTTTCTTTTTAGGAAATATTCTCTTTCCTAAATATACAGCTCCTTGTTTGGGAAATGTCAAATCAAAAGGTTGATTTATTGTTTCAATCTATCTTTAAAGAACTGTAAGTCTTTTAAATACCATAATAATGTTTCTCAGCCACAACTGTCAGAAGTTATCAAAAGAAAGATCACTGGCAACGGTGCCAAGTTAAATTTCCCATTGCATAAAGCTTGTTTTATTAAAAACGTGTTAAAAACCTATCTAAGTTATGCTCTTGACTGCCTTCTTTTCTTCTCCAGAGACCTTCTACTTCTGAATACCTCCTACCAGGGAGCTTTTTTCTTATTATTTAGTTCTTCCAGTATTTGCCATACAGTTTATCCTACCTGTTGGAGAACAAAATGTATATATTATTTGCAGTACCTCAATTGCATACCAAATGTATAATTTGATGCAGTACCAAGAAGCCAATCAATCAAACAGAAATTGGGTGAGATGGTATCTTCCATAATTCTCTTCTTTTTCACATTTAATACAAACTTTCTTTCCCTCCCTCTGTTGCAATATAGGCTGGCATGGCTTTAACATATGACCCTACAGCTGCTATACAGAACGGGTAAGTAGCACATTATTTTCTTTTTTTAAAAAATACTAACATCTTTTCCAAAATGTCTTTCAGTACTTAAATACATTTTAGAAGTTGGAGAAGTACTTATGAAATCAAATTTAAGATATAATGTTCAATATGGATGTCAATTTCCTTTTTATTTTTACATCCTCTTGCTTATGACAACTAACTGATCAGGCAACCCCTCCCTACATGTGCATCACCACATTATATCTGTTACCATATGTGCATAATTTTTTCTAGCCAGTAGAGCCTGACTGCAGGCCAGGCTCTGACGGTGGACTATTTTCTCATTGAGATAGTATGAAAAGACATGTTCTCAAAAAGAAAGATTCTGGAATTTGTTCATGCAGAAAAAGCTGGACGTAAAAAGTGATTGAACTGATTATGTTGTGTTTTGTAGAGCAGGCACTTAGTCAGATTGGGAAAAAGTTATTTAGAATGTTCTTCAAAAGTATCTTTTTACTTTTTTATGGCTTTGCCATCCATTTCAAGGAAGTTCAATAATATTCCACCCACCAATTCATTTATCACCCATTTTGTAATGAAAATCATAGTATGAGTGAAACCATATAATTTTGTGAAGTATCTGGAATTCTTTGGCAGAAAACTGCAGTTTTCTTAAGTTGAACTTACTCATCTTTCAGAATACTAACTTTTAAATAAGAGATATCATAGAATAGAATCATAGAATAATAGAGTTGGAAGAGATCACATGGGCCATCTAGTCCATCTCCCATACAGAAAAAGGCACAATCAAAACACCCCTGACAAATGGCCATCCAGCCTCTGTTTAAAAGCCTCCAAGGAAAGAACTTCCACCATACTCTGAGTCAGAGAGTCCCACTGTTGAATGACTCATGTGGTTAGGAAGTTCTCCCTAATGTTCAAGTGGAGTCTTCTGTCCTGTAATTTGAACTCATTGCTCCGGGTTCTAGTTTCATGGGCAGCAGTAAACAAGCCTGCTCCCTCTTCCTTATGACAGCTTTTCAAATATTTAAACATGGTGATCATGTCTTCTTCTCTTCTGCAGGCTAAATATCCCAAGCTCTTTAAGCTGCTTCTCATGTGGCATGATCTCCAGACCTTAGATCATTTTAGTCACCTTCCTCTGGACACCTTTCAGCCTGTCCATTTCTATCTAAATTGGACACAGTGTGAATAGAGAGACAGCATTACTTCCCTTGATCTAGACACTATACTCCTTTTGGTGCAGCCTAAAATTCCATTGGATTTTAGCTGCTGCATCATACTGTTGGCTCTTGTTCAACTTGTCCACGAAGACGCCAAGATCTTTTTCAGATGTACTATTGTTGAGCCAGGCATCACCTATTCTATATCTGTGCATTTCATTTTTTTTTTCTGTCTAAGTGAAGTACCCTACACTTCTCCTTGTTGAAATTTCATTTTGTTAGTTTTGGCCCAGCTCTTTAATCTGTTGAGGTAACTTTGAATTCTTATCCTGTCTTCTGGAGTATTAGCTATTTCTCCTAATTTGGTGTCATCTGCAAACTTGATAAGCATACTCTAAACCTTCCTCTAAGTTATTAAAAAGGATGTTAAACAGCATTGGGCCTAGGAAAGAACCCTGCAGCACCCTACTTGTCACTTCTTTCCAGGATGAAGATGAACCATTGGTGAGCACCCTTTGGGTTCAGTTGTTTAACCAATTACAAATCCACCTAACAGTAGTATTATCTAGCTCACTTTCTTTTTAGTTTGTTTGCAAGAAGATCCTGAAGGGGGGCTTGTAAAAAAAGGTGTTTTAGTCTTTTGGACATCCATTCTGGTTTCTTTGGACTTCTCTTATTTATTTTTTTCCTCTTTGTTGGCACTGTTTACATTTTTGCCTTCGGTACCTTGCTCTTAAGAAACTTCCATCCATCACAAACTAAGGATCTCACCACTTCCACTCCATTGACCAGGTCCTCAGTGTAGATTCAGAATAGCTGGTCTCCTGTTGCTTGGTCCACCTTCTGGACAATAAATTATCTGCAAGGCAAGTGAGGAATTTGTTGGAGTTTGTACTCCTGGCAGAGTTTGTTTTTGTTAACTTATTTCAGATTAGTTAAAATCTCCCATTACTACTATAGCCCTTCTTTCTCTGTGTTTGTTCATCTGTTCCAGGTCCTCAATCCATCTTCGAGGTCTGTAGTAGACCCCCACAACTACATCTTTTTCAGTTATTCCATAATATAGATGCTCTCAATCTAATTGTCAGGATTGAGGTCTTGTATCTCTTCACAGGTGTAAACACCATTAACATATAATGCTACCACTCCCCCCCCCCCATTCAACTATTTCTCTGAAATAAACCATACCCCTCCATTACTACATTCCAATTGTAGGACATATCCCACCAGGTTTCAGTGATGCTTATTATATCATAAGTGTTTTGTTATTCTAAGCGTTCCAGTTCATCTTGTTCATATGCTACCTGTATTATGGAAAAGCAAGCTTTTGGAAGCTTGGGAAATGTGTGAGAAATCCATAAATAAAGCCACTTATTTATGTAGTTTTGTAAAGTCTTTAGAATTCATTGGCAGAAAGCTCCAGTGCCCCACCAAACTACAAATGTTAGGATTCCATTGGATGCAGTCATAGAAAATAAAGTGATATCAGCAGTGTTCCCATTGTCCATGTAGGAAAAAAGTATATCACTTAAGCCTCTGTCACTAATACATGTTGAGAGCCAGGATGGTGTAATAATTTGAATGTTGGACTAGGACAGTTGGGAGACATGGGTTCAAATCCCCATTTGACCATGGAAACCCACTGGGTGACCTTGGCTAATCAAACTCTCTCAGCCTGAGGGGAAGGTAATAGCAAACCTTCATCAGAAAAGATCTTCCTAAGCAAACAACTGTGCATCTCATATTAATTGCTTTTGTTCATCAAGAAATAGAGCATGTAGAAATACATTTATTTCAGTTTTTGCATGTTTTGGAATGAATGTGTACTTCCAAGTGAAAGCAGTTTCAAAACTCATTTCAGAGTTTACAAGGAGAAATCCTCTGAATCTCTAGGAATCAGTCTTGCACATCTGCATCCTGATGTCTCTTTCCTCTCTGCTCTTTCACTGATTCTCATTACTGACTTTTTCAGAGTTTGATTAATTATATCTTTCTTTGTTGTCACATCCACAAAGAGTTTGCTTACATGTTGTTACTGTAAAAAAAACTAATTGCTAGTTTCAGTTGCTCTTCCTTATTTCTATTCTGGTACTTCTGCAATAAAAGTCTCTGAGGTAATAATGTTTGGTAATACATGTTTGTTATGTTAGCCGAGGGATACTGTTTGTGAGCTTTTTTCAGTATTAAATATGAACATGCGACATGACATAATACTTTTTTTCTTAAGGATAAATATGTGACCTGAGCATTATATCCCAGTAGTAAAGTTCTTAGTACTGAGAAGCCAATATAATGCAATGAGAACTCAATTCCCTAAAATATGGCTTTTGGATGTGTTGTAAAAAATGTTTGTTTGTTTTTTTTGGGGGGGGGGGGGTTTAAGAAAAAATCTATCTGTTAGTTATCATGAATGTATCTTGCATACCATGGTTTAAGATTCTCATGATTCTGTTATAGGCTTCAGCATTTCAGTTCTTGTTTTTATCACTCAAAGTGATCATGTTGATAAGTCCAAACAATAAAATTAAGCTCAGAAGTAGCATTTATAGATGAGAAGCTATTTCATCATAATATATATTACTCTGTGTACCTTCTTTTCAAAATCTTGTGAGTAGAATGCCACACTCAGCATTTAAAAGCATAGGTTATTTTGCTTATAAACCAATAATTCATAAACAAAGAATTTGATTTATAAAAATACATTTAAAGCATGGTCAAATCCATGTACAGCCAATCCCTGAGTTACAAACATTCCACTTACAAATGACTCATAGTTAAGAATGGGGATGGGACAAAAGAAAGTGAGAGAAATCTCCCCTTCAGAAGGGAAATTCACTTCTGAAAGCAAGGGCACAGACAACAAAATTAACACCATCTTCTCTATGCTATCCAAAGCTTATACACACACACATAGACATATTTGGCTGGAGTTATACTAAATCATTTTTGTGCTTGTCACAAGTTGGCCATCCTCCATAGTAAATGGAACCTTGAAACCACAGACCTGTGCAGGAGGAACAAATCTACAAGAACACATAATAAAATCTTTATTTTGGGGCTATTCAGCACAAAGAAATAATAAAGCCATATGACACCAGATGGTATTAGCCTTCAGTCCAAGCCCAGCTCTTAGCCAAATCCTTCTGTTTTAGGTCAGCTATTATTTGCAATACAACTCTTACTTATCTGTCACCATAATGGGTACAGAGGCTTCAAGGCCAAAGAAATTGTAGTTGACTTCTCTCCCTCCCTCTCCCTCTCTCAACAATTCCTTGTATCTGCGTTTCCAGGCTTCCCTCTCCATTATCCCCATTCAGCTCAGCTGTTCTTAGCATTTTCCCTTATGATGTCCCGCTCAATGGGATCAGCCTCTCTTTTGTACCCCTCTCCCAAACTTCCACATTGTTCTCTTTTAACTCTTTTCATCCCACTGTGCTCTTCCAGGCTCCACCCAGATCCTCTTCTTCAGTTGTTCCCTCTCTAAATGCAACATATCAAGACTCCCTTGTCTTCTTTCTAGCCAAAAAATGTGTGTGTGTGTGTGGGGGGGGGGGGGGGGGGGGGGGGGGGGGGGGGGCAGGTTGCACCAATGTGTATACAGTAAACAATGCAATAAAGCTTGATTTGGAGTAGAATGGGATTCTTCCACACCCAATCCTACTGTAGCTGAATGAGCATCTTCCCTCAGCAGGCAAGGTGCATAACAGCTGCCTCCAGCATATTTCATTGATCATGCATGCACATCAGCAGAGTTATGATATCAAATAATAAAAAAAATATTACAACATCAGAAGCTTACTTTATTACAGCTTCATAGTAGAAACAAAAAGAAACCCAGATATCAGACCAAAGACT